TTTGGTCTTTTAAGACTGTGTAACACAACTGTATCTTGTATTTTGAACTGTATCTGGATATACAGAACTAAAATAGAAATCACAGTGTCTGGAGGGGTTTCTTTCAAAGCCTATTTGTTTGATTCCAAATTTTTCTGTCTATAAAATTCCTCATAAAACCCACCAGAGACTTTCAGAGTTTCTATTTATTTAATTTTTCAGTATTAAAAACCAGTAGGATCTAGGAAGAAGTAACAAACAAGAAGCATTTGTGTACAAACTGCAATATTTCTTCAGGCAAAAAAAAGTCTTCTATTGTATAGAGGCTGCAAGTTTTAGAATAGAATGAAGTCTGCTGTCATACCTAACTACTGATTTGGAAGTGTTTTCATGTTCATAATTTAGGGTTGTGGGATTTTTTCTCCCCACTAACTCCAATACATTAAGTGTGATGGAAGGAGTTACAGACACCTGAGATGAAGAAATATTTTCTGTTTCACAGCTATTCTCTTGAGTGTAGATTTTGATCCAGAGGAAACCTAATTAGATACACCAGAAATATGACTAATGAATGACTTTAGCTTCTGACCTGGCAGTGGAATAGTAAAGTAGTGGTGGCCCTCATGGTGGGACTGGGGTTTTTCAGAGCCCCAAGTTTTGCCTCTGGCCCTGTCTAGTGAAAAGGTGCCAGATCCATGGCACCCAGCTTCTGCATTCGGAGGCGAAGGATTCTTCCTTTACAAATAATTCCAAGCTCCCTTGGAGTACGTGCATGGTATGATGGTAGCAGTTTTGTCTTTTATTAGCTGACCCATAAAACCTGATAGATACTGCCACATAATTACACAACCTCTCAGTTGGGCACCTTCTATTTATGTTCAAAGCAGTTTGCAGCTTGGTACAATGCGTGTAAATGATGCTCAGCAAATAGTCAAGGAACTAAAACCCAGCAGCTGTCTCCTTTGTGCATCCATTTTCAATAATTAATTGGGTATCCTGTGACTTTTAATTGTGAGGGGGGGAATGCTAGCTTTACATCTCCTAAATTCAGTGTGATCAGAACAAAAGCTTTTGTGCTCCTAAATGTGAGACTAGTACAGCTGAGCCTGATTATACCAGTATGAAATAAATTGTAGTGGCGTAAAATTTAATTATAACCGTTAGAAATTTATACCAATTTTTACTGTCACGAGCTCAGACAGCTTATAGACTCTAAGGACTAATTCTTTATGGTGTCTCACAGAGCACCAAGGTAGCCTTCTTTTTTAAAAGGATATTGGAGTTCAGAGTAAATATTGAAGTGTGTCCTTGGGCTAGAAATTGCAGTATCATTAATGTTTACATGGAACCAGGAAAATGTGTGAACAAATCTTTTTCTTTTGCTCCTACATGTAGGTGTGTGTTAGATTGTCTTCACTGTCTTCAAACGGTGCCTGCAGATCCTGTGGCTGACTCCATGGAGTAGCATTCACAAGTGACTGTAAATATGGATATGGAATTGGAGTTGGGTAGGTCAAAAGAGACTTCCAGAGAAATCTACTCCAGGCTCCCATTTGAAGCAGGTCCTGTTAGAGTAGACTGCTCAGGGCCTTGTCCAGGCAAAGACTTGAATGTCTTCAAGCAGGGGAGCTCCACAGTTTCTCTGGACAATGTGTTCCAGTGTTTGACCACCCTCTTGGTGATATTTTTTCCTCCTTTTTTTCATTTTTAACAGGTCTGAATTTCTAGTTTTCCAGCTTCTGACTGTTGCTTCTTGTCCTTCCACAAGATTCAGGCTCCATCTTATCATATGCTCCCACTAGGTGGGCAGAAACCCACCTAACCTGTTCTAAAGGCTGAGCAAACTCAACTCTGTTTGCCATGTGCTCCATTCCCCTGTGGTATCAGTGACCCTCCACCAGACTCACTGTCAGTGTCTTGTACTGGGGAGCCCAAACTGGACACTTAGAGCAGATCTGATCTCACAAGTGTTAAATAAAGGGAAATTATCACTTCCCTGGACCTGCTGTCTGTGATGTTGCTAATAGAGCCCAGTATGGAGTTGGCTTTCTGCACCTCAAGGGCACAGTTCTGACTTTGGTTCACCTTGTTTTCCACCAGTGCCACAGGTGTTATTCTGCAGAGCTGTTTTGTAGCCTGTTGGCCTCCAGCCTGAACTGTTGCATGGGTATAATCCATGCAGGTGCAGGACTTTACATTTGTGTTTGAGCTTCATGAAGTTCCTATCAGCCCATTTCTTCTAGTCTGTCCAGGCCCTTATGAGGAGCAGACAAACCACCCAGTGTATCAACTGCTCACCCCAAGCTGGTGACTTCCAGGCTGTCAGGGAGTGTACTCTATCCCATCATCCAAGCTGTAAATTAAATTACTTCATTAATCACTGCAAACTGTAGGTGCAGATTCTCTCTGTGCCTCTGTAAACTGCTGCATAGCAGTCCCAGTTGTTCTGTGACCTTCTGGATCCAACTGAGATGCTTTTCTTACTCCCTGATGCTTCAGATAGTCCAGTGATCACTTTGCAAGGAGTGACTCAGTGCTGCTGCAAATAGTTTTTCCTTCTGTGAGTGACATCAAATTTTATGCATTCAAAACATAGTGAGGAGTTTTGCAGCATTTCGGAAGAGAAACCAAAACTAAACACAGGTGGCAGCCTTTGAGCAGCTGTGCAGAGGGTGAGCAGGCTGCAGCCCAGTGCTGAGCCCTGTCTGTTGGCACTGGGGCTGCAGACTCACCAGCCACATGCAATCCTGGGAAAAAAGCAGCACCACAGTATGCCTGAATTTCAGACTGTTATTCGAGGGAGGTGTGTGTGACCATGTATGGCCATCAGTAACCCAGGGAGAGCTGAGGGATGCCAGTGGATAAATAGTGCATGCCCTAAGAGATTCACTGAAAACATACCAACTTCCAATGTATTGGATGAGAGATTGCACTTTTCAGACCATCTCTGTCAGCTTTCCAATGAGCCACTGGCATTGTTGTTTTTTTTCTCTTTGGCATTGCTGTTAGTGTGTGAGCTTTCTACTCATCTGCTTGTGCAGATCTATTCTCTCCAAGTGTGGGACATTTTGTTGTGTTAGTCATTTGGGGCAGTAATTTATTATTTGCTTTATTATATGCTTTATTATATTTGCTTTATTATATGCTTTCACAGTTGAGCAGTCGTGTTGCTTCGTGATGTTTGTTCTTCACCAGCATTTAAACGGATTATTTGTAATGGAACAGCTATGGGCTGCTACTGAATTTTGCAACTTCAGCCTGAGAAGAGTAATTCCCCCACTGCACTCAGCCTTTGAAAAGGGATTGCCATGAGAGGTTTCAGGAAACCACAGATCTCTTCATTGCTTGCTGGAGAAAGAAAACATGTGTGAGGCTGTGGAAAATAGCATTGATTATTTTAGGAATTAACAGTGCACAGAAAGGAGACAGAAACTGCCAGTGTAGAGGAGCTGTGCAATTCCTGAGAGGCTGCTTTTCATGCAGCCTGGTCGTGCAGTTGTGTCTGTCTGCTTCTCAGACATGCCTGCAGAGACTGGGGCAGTGTGCCCCTCCCTGCGTGGCCTTAGGTCTCTTCTCTGCTGTGATGTCTTACAGCAGCAAGATGATGACCTGCAGGAGCTCACTGGTACTTGGGCTTCTCCATCTGTTTTATCTGCTTTTGTGCTTGTTCTGTCAGTGCTGTGGAAGAGAAACAATCCTGACGTGTGTGTGCTGTTTGGCATATTAAGCGTAAAGATTGTATGTGCTGCTATAAAGCCAATAGAAATAATTAGCTGTATGGCTCTCTTTGAACTCACATTTTCCCTTAAGCAGGACTGTTCTTCTGACTGTGTGGTAGTAGTGATATTGATGCAAGGTCAGCTGTCACTGAGCTCCCAGCTCTGCTTCATCAGCTCCTTGCTGTTTTTTGGCAAGGCAGTGCACTCCCTTCACACCTGTGCAGTGCAGGCAGTGGCAGAGAACAGGGAACCATTGCACTACAGAGAGCTGTGACCCATTTTCAGATTATGCAAGTCTCCAAGGCCCTTCTAATTCAGTGAGATGAAATCCCTTTTAGAAGGTGCTGGGGACGAACAAAGTGCTTTATTGGGGGCAGGTTGGGGGAACACCAGCAGTCAGTGAGCTAGGCCTGGATTTCACATTGCACTGTTACACATTCAGGTCTAAAAGTCAACTAAACCAGAAATGTTTAGTATTTGTGCAGGAATTATCCTAGGAATTTGTTGACTGATGTTTGTTGAACATGTGTTAGACCATTGCTGTAGTGGAGTGATGCTTTCAAAGGCTGTTCCATGCTGGGTGAGAATCTGGCTTGCTTTCCATTCTCCACATGGTACCATGCACTGTGAGAAGCAGATCACTGAGTTCTGCTCCATGTCTTATTCCCAGCCATGATTTACTCAGTGAGGACCAAACTCAGGTCTGACAGCCTGAAGTTTTCACAGAAAAGTTGGATAGCTTTCCAGCCATTTCAGAAGGTTTACTGAAATCTTCTATCTAAAACTGCTGCTTTGAGTTTTTGAAGAACACATGGCATTCTTGCTTTGAGCATCATAAAGATGCTCAGCCACACAGGTGAGTCACAGTACAGCATTTTTCAAGAGTGTATTC